CAACGAGGCAAATCCAACGAGACAAGATCAAAGAATTCTGATATCATTAAGACCTTCAAATGTCTGATGAACTGTCCATGATCAAGGGATTCAATATCGACCGTTCATTCAAACCACTCCCGATTCGCCTCTGATCTCTCACCTATTTACAGGCCATGCCACTTCAGAAATCTATAAATAGACCCCTCATTTCTCTTGTGAGAGAGGCCCAAGCAAGAGAAGAAGGACAAGAGAAGAAGGATAGGAGGAAAGAACTCCTCCTTGACCACCGCCGCCGGAATTCTGTCAAAGTGCCGCCAGAATTCCTCCCAACCTCCAAGTGACATCGGAATTACGTCTGACCTCCAAGTTACGCTAGAGTTCTGCATGAATACCATCTAAAGTCAGAATTCTCTTCAGCCTCCATTTGGCGTCAGACTTCTACCCGACGTCGGACCTCCGCTCATCTCCAAATTTTTACATGACGCTGGACTTCTACCAATTGTCAGACTTTCATCAGACATCTACCTGATATTGGATTTCTATCCATTGATGGTCTTCTACTAGATGTTGTCTTTCTAACCTCCATCGTCAAACAACAGCTCTTCCAACCTCCGTCGCTCACCGACTACGGTCCTTCAGACTTACGTTGCCCATCGACTATAGTCTTTCGAACTCCGTCGACCGTCGACTATGGTCCTTCAGACTTACATCGCCCACTGACTAAAATCCTTCTGACCTCCGTCGCCCGTTGACTATGATCCTTCAGACTTACGTCGTCCACCGACTACAGTTCTTTCGACCTCCATCGCTCGCCGACTATGATCCTTCTGACTTACGTCTTCCACCGACTACAATCTTTCTGACTTACGTCGCCCGCCGACTAGAGTCCTTCAGACTTACGTCGCCCGCCGACTATAGTCCTTCTAACCTCCGTCGCCCGTCGACTACAGTATTTCAAACCAAACAAACACATCAACAATGATGCTATGTATTCTCATCATGTAATGTACTCTATAAGATTTACATCAAGTTAAGGCCTTCCCCTGAGGAAGGACCTCCTTTGTAATCAACTACAATACTAGTGGATTCATTTATACTGGGCTAGAGCCCATGATTTTTCCCCCTATTCAGGAGTTTTCCACATAAAAATCTTTGTGTCTCTCATAAATGCACCCTCTCCCTTTATCTGTGTGTGTGTCAGATTTTCGTACAATGCTAAGACGTTAAACTTTATATTTCTCTCCCGTCGCAAATACTCCAGGACGAAACAGTTTGGCACCGTCTGTGTGAACTTGGTTCTCGACTGGGAGGAAATTTTGGTTCCAACCTCAAAAGATTATTCATTTGCTATTGATGCATCAATTTTATGGAAATCAGATCTAGACTAGGGGAAACCTTGACTACAATTTTAGTCAAGAAGATCCCTCCAAGATTTTAAAACCAAGATGGTATATAAGGAAACTCTTAAAAAATGCAACGATATTTTCGATAAATTTCAAGCCACATACATCCCCCTATTGGACTTTTACTCATTGAGCAATGTCTTAATCTCGACCTTAAAAAGGAAATAACGGTTTAAAGATAGACCATTTTTCACATTTGATTCAGGATACACGTGGCGTTTGCCCCCTCCCAATCAAGGCAAAATTGATCATAGAGGGATCCGATTTGACCTCTTCCATGCAGGTTAACGTCGTCAAGCAAAGGCTCCGACATACAACCTTGGATAGGTCTTATATCCTTGGTGGATTCTTTAAACCTCTTCCACACAGGTTAACGTCATCGAGCAAAGGCTCTAACATACAACCTCATATAGGTCTTATATCCTTGGTGGATTCTTTCGACCTCTTCCACATAGGTTAACATCATTGAGCAAAGGCTCCGACATACAATCTCGGATAGGTCTTACATCCTTGGTGGATTCTTTCGACCTCTTCCACACAGGTTAACATCGTCGAGCAAAGACTCCGACATACAACCTCGGATAGGTCTTACATCCTTGGTGGATTTTCTCGACCTCTTCCATATAATAAGTTAACGTCATTGAGTAGGGCTCTGACATACAACCTCGAAAAGGTCTTACATCCTTGTTGAATTCTTTCGACCTCTTCCATATATGTTAACATCATCGATCAGGGCTCTGATATACAACCTTAGATAGGTCTCACATCCTTGTTGGATTCTCTCGACCTCTTTCATATAAGTTAATGTCATCGAGCAGGGCTTAATTACCATGGCATAATTGGGAATCAAAATATAATGGAGGGGAACTCTATTATTCGTCCACCACTTTTCAATAGTACACCCTTTGATTTAAAAAAATATTTGTATGACAATATTTATTCAGTTAATTGACTTTAAAATATCGAATTTGATTCAAGTATGATATACACCTCCATATTGTATTGTGAAGGGCATGAAAGTAGAAACTTCCTTTATTGATTGGGATACAGAAGATAGGAAGTTAGCACAAATTTAGTGTAAAATACTTAAATTATTTTTTTCTATGCACTAAAACCAGAAGATTATATGTGTGTATTTCCTTTTAAAAATAATAAGGAGATTTGAGATAGATTGTGCACAAAAAATGGAAGTACATTGGATGTTAAACAATTAAAAATGAATACCTTACTTTGTGACTATGAATTATTTTATATTTAACACAATGAGAGTATATATGGCATGTATAGTAATTTACAAAAAACATCATGATGGCATACACTAGGTACAGAAATATTAAATGCTAAAAACGTTGTTAAGATACTAAGTTGTTTGCTAGAATGATAGGATGCCAAGATAAAAATAGTTTTGAATCGAAGGATTTGATTTCTCATTCTATTGATTGTAAGCTTGTCAAATTTATTGGTTACAAATAAAATTATTCTAAGAAGTGCAGGTACTAAGGAAAAGAAGAAAGAAAAGATTATTGCTTTAAAATTTGATGATTCTAAAAGCTGCAACTTAGAAGATAGTGAGACAAAAGATATTTCTTTCATGAGAGGCAGTTCAAATGATTCCTAAGAAGCATGCAGAAGAAGCATGTCATCAATTGGAAAGGTAAAAATAAGAAAATAAATAAGGCTTTCACTAACATAATTTATTTTGAATGCATAAATATGGACACATTAAATGGGATTATTTGAACCCAAAAAACCAATCACATAAAGAGAACATTGAGGAGAGCACATAACTGAAGAAAAGAAAAAGGCACCTCACCAATATTTTTGCCCTAACTTTGATTCAGACTCTTCATAAATTGAAGCTAAGCCAGAAATCATAGATATTTCTTTGATGGAAAAAAATAGTATAGCTAACTCCAAGGAAGATCAAATATACCTTAATAAGTGGTCCAGTGAAGGCTTGTAGTATTTAGATATCATATGCTCAAGAAAAATAATTGGAGACAAAAAAATTCATCACATTAGAGTCCAGAAGTAGAAGAAGAGTGAAAATTTGAGATAAAACCACCAAAAAAATGGTTGATACATATAATATAGGAAAACCAATTGGTTTCACAATTCAAAGAGATGTCTGCAAGGGTGGCATATATTACCTACTACTTAATGTATCCCGCATAGGAATCTAACTCTAGTAGAGATAAGAATCTAGAGTGAGAAAGTTTTCAAACATTTTGTTTTTCATTTTTGGTGGGCTAATACGTGATGTCGGCGGTTGGCCCGGTGGCGGTCGCCGACGGCGAAGCTACTGATGGCTTCAGAGTCGTTAACATGTTGATTTTCGGTCGCCCAGTTAAGATCGGGAATCTGGTAATTCGTGAACAAGCTGTTCCTTTATCAATCTCCCCTATTTTTGTACCAGACAAAGGGAAAGAAATCTCAGAATCAAGGGAGGATCCTGATTCACCTGTATCTATCCTTAAAATCAAAACCTCTGATGGTGAAAATTCTTCTACTTCTGGTATGAAAATTTTTGTCAATCATATTGGTAATTATGTGAGAGGAATCAATGGATCTACAGACCTTCCTTCAATTCCAAATATTAAAGGTTGCAATTCAAATGCTTGTGAAAATGGCATCTTAGAACCTTTATTGGCTAATGGTCTTAATGATTTTGTTAACGGAGGAGATAAGGTGGGTTCAAATCCATGGTTAAAGCAAAATCATCTTAAAATTGATTCTAAGACAATAGAAAATTGCTTAACAGAGGATGGTAGTGCTGTGAAACTGTTTGAGACAAATGTAAAGGCCAATTCTGATCGTCTGATCCTCTCTATTGTGGTGAAGGCTTTTGGAGCTGATATCTCTATCCCATTGATGGCGTGGGAGCTAAGACATCAATGGAACCAGTTCGGCAAATTTCACCTGACTTCTCTTGGTCTAGGTTGGATGTTATGCTCGTTTGATGATAAAGAGGCTATGGAGAATGTTATTATGGGTGGACCTTGGTTCGTTAAAGGACATATTATAGGAATGGATAGATGGAGTTTGGATTTCTCTCCATCTTTTTTGAAAGGCTTAAGCTCTCCGGTTTGGGTTAGATTTCCTAACCTCCCTCTTTTTTGTTGGGATAAAATCAATGTGGCAAGGATTGCTTCCCTTATTGGTACTCCTCTTCTTATTGATGGTAATATGTTCCAATGGAGCAAGAGGGAATTTGGAAGAGTTTGTGTTAGAATGGAGCTTGATAGACAACTTTCATTGGGAGTGTGGATTGAAGGTCCTAATGGGAGGTTTTTCCAAAACGTTGAGTATGAGAGGATCTCTTCTCTTTGTTACAATTGTGGCAAAGTCGGTTATTTATCTTCTGCTTATGGAGTTAAAGTAGTGGTGGAAGGCTCTGTTCAAAAGGAAAGTATCTGTAATGAGGAAGTCAAGGAGGTTGGAGCATCTCAGGAAGCTGCAGTCTATGGACCTTGGATTCATGTCAATAATAGGAAGAAAAATTGGAGCAATCAGAGAAGAGTTAGTCATGTTAGCTCCAATCCGGTTCCAAAAGGATTCAAGTAGATTTTTAAGAAGAAAGAAATCCAGGAGAATTCTCAGATTGCTGCTACAGAAATGGCTATGGTGATGCCAACGAATGTGGAATTGGATGGATCAGATCTTCAAAAGCTGAAGGGAGTTGAGTCTTCAGAGTTCAATCCGGCAATTCCTTCTCTCAAAGAATTTTCTTTTCAAATAGTAATAAGTTTGATTTACTCAGTGAAATTGAGGAGGAAGTTTGTGAAAGGAATAATAAAAATTAAATGTTCTCCTGAAAAGTCAGATATTGAAGAGGGAGAATTTGTTAACAGTGGAGAAGCTGTGGAAATTAAGGCTATTGCTGAAAGTCCTCCAGGTTTTGAGAATAGAGGGATGGAAATTATTGGTAAGCCTAAAACCAAACTTCAAAAGGAGCTGAAATTTTTGGGACCTCTCAATCAATCCTCTAGACTTAAAAAGCTAGAAGGGAATAGTAGAAAGAAGGGTGGGGGACCTTCCCCCTCAGTGACTAAATGAGTTCTTTTATTTTCTGAAACTGTAGGGGGGTAAATAAGAGGGAGGCCCCTCTATATTTGAAGGAGGTAATCTGTAAATGGAAGGCTATTTTGTGGGCATAGTGGAAACTAAAATTGATTCCTTGGAGAAATGGGGTTTTAATAAACACATGGGTAAAGATTGGAATTTCTTTCTTTATCCATCCATTGGTTTGTCTGGTGGGATTGTGGTAATGTGGAGATCTGATTTGGCCAGTTTTTCTTTAATAACAGCAAATGAGCAATGTGTGATTGGGAAGCTTTATATTGCCAATAAAGGATCTTGGATCATCTCTACTGTGTATGGGAGTAGAGACGTTTATAGTCGAAGGAGTTTGTGGGATTGCTTAAGATCACACTCTTCTCTAGAGTTACCGTATGTTATTGGAGGTGACTTTAATTGCATCCTTTCTCAAGATGACAATAGGGGAGGTAAGAAATTCAAATTCTCTCTTGCTCCTCAAGAGATGAATTCATTCATGAACAGTTTTGATCTCCATGATGTGGGAATGGGTGGGCCTAAATACACTTGGTGTAATAACAAAAGTGGAGGTGCACGAATTTGGGAGAGGCTCGATAGGTGTCTTCTCAATTCCAAAGCCTTGGAAGTTCTTCCACATGCTGTTAATCGACGTGTGGCACGGGTTGCATCTGATCATTGTCCTGTGGTTCTTCAGCTTAATTTTTGAAATTTCCAGCATCCTAAAATCAGCAGTTTGAAGACGTGTGGCTCTCTTATCCTTCTGCATTTCACGCTGTCAAGAAAGCTTGGAGCAAACAATTCAGAGAGGATTCTATGGAGGTGTTAAATAAGAAATTTCGGTTTGTTTTGAGAACTCTATTCTTTTGGAATAGATCTAAACATAAAAGCTTGAAGGAACTCAAGGAGACACTCACAAAAGAGGTGGATGATCTGAAAATTGAAGAAGCTAATGGGATCGGGATGTCAGAGCAATCAGTGTTGCTGCTCAAATCCAAGGTTCATGAATTGAATTCTACTCTTGCAAGGTTAAATGTTTGGTGGAGACAAAGGGTGAAATTAAAGTGGATTAAGGAGAGTGATATTAATTCTCAGTTCTTCCATGCTTTTGCAAATGGTAGGAAGAATGGTAACTTCATAAAACATATTAAGGACGACATGGGTAACCTGGTTAACGACCAAGCTGCTATTGAACAAGTTTTCTTGAGTTTTTTTCCTCAAAAAATGGAAGGAGCGGGACTGCATTGTAACGGGCTGGCCGAACATATTGAATGCTATTACCAGTGAAAGTGTGAAATTACTGGATGCTGAATTCACAATGGAGGAAGTTGAGAAAGTCATTTCCAACCTTGGAAGAAATATTTCTATAGGGAATGATGGAATTTCGTATTCCTTTATCACAGGTTATTGGAAAATAATTGCTCATGACATACGGGAGGCTATATTTCAGTTCATCTCAATGGGTAAAATGAACAATAAGTGGAAAGAGACATTGATAGTCCTTATTCCCAAGGTTCAGAATCTGGTTGATCCCTCACACTTTCATCCTATTAGTTTATGCTTGTCTACTTATAAAATCATTGCTAAACTTCTTCTAAATAGACTTAATGTGGTTATCAATGATTTGATTTTGGAAAACCAAGCTGCTTTTCGTAAAGGCAGATCATTATCGGAGCATATCCTTTTGGTGCAAGAAACTTTTCATAAATTCAGATTTTCTAAATCAAAAAAAGGAATGATGGCGGTTAAAATTGATATGGAACAAGCATATGATTGTATGTCTTGGAGGTCCTTGAAAAATATTCTTCATTACTTTGGGTTTCTTAATGTTTTTTCCAAACTTCTTATGAAATGTGTTACCTATCCAAGATTTTCTATTCTTTTCAATGGGACTCAATCAAATTAGATTGAAGCTAAGAGTGGGTTTAGACAGGGTTGCCCACTCTCTCCCTATTTGTTCATTTTATGTTCCCAACCGATATCCAACAACTTGCATTACAATGGGAACAATTTGGGAATTAAGGTGGCTGCTTTGGCTCCCAAAATCTCTCACCTTCTTTATGCAGATGATGTTCTTCTTTTCTTTGAAGCCAATATTGAGCAAGTGAAAGTTCTTAAAAGGATCATTGTGGACTACTGTAGCTGGATAGGGCTATCAGTTAATGTTAAAAAAACTGCTATTATGTTTGGGAAATCAGTTAATATAGCAAAGAAGAAATCTTTATCCAAAATTCTCAATTATAAGGTGGTGCAGGAAATGAAGTACTTGGGGATTAATCTTTATTTACGTAGATTAATTTCTTCTGATTTTCTTTTTTTGCTTGAGATGGCGTTAGCTAAAATCAGTAGTTGGGGTAATAAATTCTTTTCATTACCTGGTAGAATTGTGTTGGTAAAGTCCGTTTTGCTGGCAATTCCGATCTTTTATGTTTCTCACTCTTTGACTCCCATCAATATTCTGAAAAAGCTGGAAAAGATTTGTAGGGAATTTATATGGAAGAAGGCAGACAATGATGATCGAATGCACTACATTTCATGGGAGGTGCTGTGTAAACCTTTTGCCGAAGGTAGAGCGGGGTTACTTTCTCCTGTTGCTATGATGGGGCCTCTTAGATCTAAATATGCTTGGGAGTTTCTAAAGGAGTCCAATTCTTTACTGTATAGAACGTTAAGAGCAAAATACGGGAATGTTATATGTAGTGGAACTAAGAAGCAAAACTGTTCGGTTACATGGAAGATTCTTTTGAACGGCTTGAAGTCTTTACATCCTATTTTGAGATGGAAAGTGGCTACTGGTGTTTCCATTGATCCGCTTGAAGATATATGGATTCAAAACAAAAGGCTTTCCAATTGGCCTATGTTTGTCAATGTTACGGTTGATGAATTTCCCATACTTGATTTTTTCATACAAAACAGAGAATGGAAATTGGAGGAGCTAAATAAATACTTTGGCCCGGAATTAACCAAGGTAATTTTACAAATGAAGATAGTAGCGGATTCCAGATAACTTCTTCACAAATTTTTAGGAAAATCATTAGCAGCTTTGACTAGATATGTTCAAAGTGAGAATTATGATAATAAAAACTGTTGGAAATGGCTCAAACTAAGTAAACTGTCCGCTCGGGTGCACTGCTTTTGGTGAAGATTACTTAATAAAGGTATTCCAACTTTGGGTTACCTCATGTACAGGAGAATTATTCATACAAATGGATGTCCGAGAGGTTGTTCAAATGCTGAGGATGAGGAGCATATTGCAGTGAATTGTGGGTTTCTAGTCCGCTTGTTTGACACCTTGGAAGTTTGGGGTTTTCTCATTCCTAGATACAATGCTTGGTCTTAGTGTATAAATGGTTTAAAGGCTTTGGCTTCCTCAAATCCATTTTTGGTCAATCTGTATTGTACATGTGTCTATTTTTCTTGGAAGAGTAGGAATAATGTTACCCATGGAGACAATGAATTGGGTATGGGTTTTATGGCTGCTAAAGCAATTGAGGTTGCTGTTACTTTGTCAAAATGTGGTATCCTCTCGGATCACTGGGGAGCCAATCAGCTTTGTAAGCTGTCCAACTCTTCTTAGCACCCCCCTCCACTCGAGTGGATCAAAGGTAATTTTGATGCAACACTTTTAGATTCTAATAAGGCCGGGATTGCCAGTGTTTTTAGAGACAATAAAGGAAGGTTCTTATTTGCTTTTGGAATCAAATGTGTTCATTGGGACATTGGTTTGCTGGAGCTTCTAGCTATACGGGCTTTGAATTTATTTCACAATAAGTGGACCTTTGAAGCTAAGGGGATTATCATCGAAGGGGATAATCAGAACGTCATCAATTATCTTCAAAGATCATTGAATAAAGCTTCTCACAAGAATTATGAGATTGAAGACTTGTCGGTCTTGGAGGATTTTTAGATGGTTCTTTTTCATTTCGTCCATAGAGAAGGTAATCGTTTAGCCTATTATGTGATAATTTTGCTTTAGTTGAGGATTTCATTTGGGAGGATCTTTATTGCAATAAGATCCCTCCTAGTTTTTTTGCTTTGCTTAAAGATGAGAGTGATAGGTGTTCTACTACTCTCTAAGTTGTATCCGTTATCTTTTTCTTAATCATTTGCCTTTGGCATTAATAAAAAAAAAACTCTAGTAGAGATTATTAAAAATATGTCTATCTATGAAAGGAACTTTTGAAGTTACGCTGGCTTGGGGAGACTTCTTGGAAGAGGTAGTTGGTGCTGGTTCACCGTGCTCTAGTGTTAATCTCCTAAGAGAATCCATTGAATGAACTACTCTAAGATATTAGTTCCTCCTTTCACATGACCTGAACATAGCCTATAAGACACATATGACTGGGTACCTGCATAGGTATTCATGGATGTACATTTAGTTCACGATTTATGCAACCCTCTTAGCATCGGATGTCGAAAAGGTTGGATAAAATAAAACTAAAAAGATGAGCATGAGTAAATACAAATTTATTGCTCTGAATTATTTATAAATATTGAGATTTACATTTCATTAGAGACCGGATGATCTCATATACAAGTTTCTCTAAATATTAACTACAAATGAAGATGAGGATATGCCAATTATGCCTGTTATTGGAGAAGAGGGGTAAGTGTCTATTGACTCAACTATTTTGACCACAATTCTGTTGAGTCTAGTAATTAGGATGTTACATCGAAAAATTTTCTTCTGTACGATCGGTCAAGTCAAAAGACCTGTATAAAAGGACGCATCGTAAATTGTGTTGATTATGAAAAGCCGTTACATTTTGGTTGAATTTGATCGTCTGTATGAAATGTTTCGTCCAAACAGAACGATAATTTCGTCCAGACGAACATATTTTTTGTCAAGACGACGTATCATTTCTTTAATATGAAGCTTTCTAACTTAACAATCACATCTCCAAATTCACTTTCAATCCCTTTCGACTTCAAATCGATAATGGCCTCCTCAAGTAAGAGACAAAAAGTGGCAAAAAACCCCACAGAATGCATCTGAAAACTCCTGTCAAAACAAATAAGGATCTTTTCCTCATTTTGCTCTGCAAAAATAACTCCCTCCGCATTATTCAAAGAGAGATTAACTTCAAGTATGCACCTTTTGCTTCCACCAAGTTAAATTCATTCTTTCTCTCGTCCACCTTCAACAAACAAACCTTTCTCTATTTTCTAGCCAACATGAGTTTAATTCTGACCACACCTGTATAAGTTCTTATTTTTCAAACAAAAAGTGAAATCACCAAGCACGACATTGTCCTTCTGAACTTAAGAACTAAGGGTTTATAGAGCACACACTCTAATGAGTGAAGACTTTCAAATGGTATGATGTCAATAGGGTGATTAAGACAAAGTGTCCTAACATATATGTTACTAGATCTCTGGTATGACCAAAAATGCCCGAAATTATCCAGCATCCTTCGATCTTCAATCATTCCTAAAGCTGGTGATAGGATCAATATTACCCCACTCCTTTCTGTTCTAACCTTTTTGATTATTGAATTGTAAGCCTAGTCGTGAAACCCAGCTTATCCTAGACTATCTCTATGGGCTTTCAGAAATTGGGCCATGCTGAACAGAAGAAAGGAAAGGAACATCTCATTAGGACACTTAGTTACATCATTTGAAAAGAATACAACTTAGTGCATCCGATGGATTATATGAGGAGCCGTCTACTACAATGATGCCTCTTTAGAGTAAGTTTTCAAGGAGGAAAAGGAAAAAAGCACATGTCAGTGCTTCTGAAGAAAAGAAGAAGAAGGAGAGCAACCATCTGCACCTCAATCAGATTATCAGATTTTGGTTGAGAAATTTGAATAGACTGAGATCCATTTTGATCAAATTGATGCTCAACTTCTGCAGCAGCAACAGGATATTGGTAGTATCAGAAATGAATTCATGAATCAATACCAATGTTATGTTGATGACCTCCTACTCAACCATTTGGTGGCATTCCTCCCCTCCTCAGAAGAATAGAGAATGAGAAATGATTTTCTTTATGTTGTTGTACTTGTTGTTTGTTTTAATATTTGTTGGTTAGTTTATTTTAGTGTTTTTTTAGTTATTTTTATAAAAGTTTAGTGTTTTTTTTTTTTGATATTATGAAATGAACTTGTATTCTTTTCATAAATATCAATATATATTGTAGTTTATTTTAAACTGTTTTGAAATGTGTTTGTTTATGATTCATTAGTATTTTAATCTTAATTGTGCTTAAATTAGATGTGATTGAGATTAATATATTAGAAAATTTAGTCTTTCTAAATTAAAATTTGTTTATAACTTGTCATAATTAGAATTTTTTAATCTCATGTCTATTCATTAGAACTACATAAAGTTAATATTATTATACAATTTTGATGTTTATTATTTTGTATTTCCTTGCTCAAGTGATATTTATGCACTTAGAAAAATTTAAAATTTTAGATTTACTTGATCTTGAAAGATATTGGTTTCAATTACTCTTGAAATGTACAAAGAGTACAAAAATCAAAAGAATATGCGCAAAGGTTCGCAAAATATGAAAAAGAGACACAAAATTAACACAATGTCAAAAGATGCACAAAATGTGCCAAAACAAAATTGAAAAAGATGGCAAAGCGCACTTGTGTAATCTCTTCTTTCCAAATTCTTTCAATCTCTTAATTCAAATTGATCTTATGTTCATTTATATTCTATGAATTGAATATAGAATTTTTATTCATCTCTCTTATATGATTTTCTATATTTAAATGTCTAAACTGAATCATGTCCTTGATAAATTTTCTTTACAATTTTATATCACTTCTTAATTCTATGAATTTCTATGATTTACCTAATGTTATTAGTTTTAGATTGCATACCTTTGTCATCACTTTAAATTAAATCTCAAATGAATTTCATATAATTATTTACATTTCTTGTACTTTTATTCTCCACTTTTTGTGTTGTCAAAAGGGGAGAAATTATTATGTTTGTATGTTTTTGCTTGTATTTGATATTTGTGTCTTTGCTTGTGGTCGTTGGTCTGATTTGATTTTTTATTTTGTAAAAAAAAAAATTTGAAAAAAAAAATTGTGTCTCTTGGCTTCAAATGCTCCTTATTTCATGTATACATCAATCAGGAGGAATTTAGAGAGATTGTTTTAAATTGATATACAAACAATAATTGTTGCGCATCATCAAAAAGGGGAGATTGTAAGTTAGTTTTCTATTGCACGCTTTACATTTTTGCAACTTATGTAGTTTGATGATTCCAAACATTATTGTTCAAATATTGAGTTATCTCACCATTTTAGAGATTTGTATTGCTCTTGTGTGTACTAACATTTCAGGAAATCAAACTCCAGACACGAAGACTTAAATAAAATTTCAGCATGAAATACTTTTGTAATTTGAAGCTTGTCTTTCTTTGAATACAATTGAAAGGGATGATTGTAATTTGAGGAATAAAAACAACATACACAACATAAGGAGATCATATATAATTTATACTGATCGTACGGGACGATTCCGTTCGTACGGGATGAGAGACAGTTATCTCCTATTGAGCGCATGGAACGAATAGGAACTGGCTTGAGAATTTTCTAAGTCTATTCGTCTAGGACGAAATTATATCGTCCAGGACGATCTGGTCTCTGTAAAATTTTTGTCCAGACAAATTAATTATCGTACATGACGATTGATCCTCTGTACAATTTTCGTCCAGACGAAATTAATTATCGTCCAGGACGATCTGTCTCTGTAAATTTTGTCAAATGAAATTAATTATCGTACATGACGATTGTCCTCTGTAAAATTTTGTCACAGATAAATAAATTTTCGTCCAGACGTAAACAACTTAGAACGATTTTCAGCAGTTTATTGAAGCCTTGATATAACCGTTCGTATTGGACGAATATGTTCGACGGACGATCATCTGTAGAGACATTTACGATACACATATACAATAGGGTCATTTCAAATCATTAAGTAAAATTACAAGAGATCCACGATCGTTACGGGACGATCACTGTGTACAGAAATTGAAAACTTGCCTTTTTGGGTGTTTTTTGTCTCTTGTATATTATACGTCCAAATAGACTGCACCCCATTTTTTGTCACTTTGATCTTCGATGTCTTTTGGAGAATAGCCAAGGAGAGAGTGTAAGCAGTGCATTCAAAGGAGGATTTCTACATACTGCCAGATCGCAGGGCTTCACTTGGAGTTCAAGGTAAGATTCTACTTGTGAATTGGGATTACTTTCACTCTTTTCCTATCTTCCTACGATTCTTGTGAGAAGATGACGCTTCGCGGCTTGTGCGGGACGCGAGCGCGGCCTATGGAGATTCCGGTTTCTTGTCAACACTTAGAGATGTAAATGCCAAAGCGGTTCGCTGCCTACACTTGGAAAAGACCCAAAGTTTTGTAAATGGAGGGTTGTTGCCTACACTTGGAATGTGAATAGCCAAGGGTTTGCTGCTCACTTGGAGAGTGTGAATAGCCGAAGGGTTCTTTGCCCCACACTAGGAAGTGTGAAAGGAAGGACGGTTCTTGTGCAACATAGGATTGTGGTAAAAGGACGACCGGTTTCATCTGCGCAACGGGTAGTGGTGTAAGGAGTGTGTATGTAAAGGCTTCGTCGCCTTCTGTGGGTACAAAAGGAGAGTCCACGTAATTAGTATTAGTGCATACTCAGGGGTGCCCTTGGGGAGTGATGTAGGTCTGGTTTTAGACGAACCATATAATTTGGTGTTCATTTACTTTACTTTTTTTACATTGCCGCAATTATTTTTTAGTTTTAAGACTACTGCGGTTTGAAAACATTTTCTACAAAACTAAAAGAAAACAATTTATTTCGGTTCCAACATATTTTTAAAAGAGGCTTAAATTTTTAAACCTACCAATTCACCCCCCTCTTGGGTAGCCTTGGAACATTAACTAGGCTTAACAGC